AAAAAAAAAAAAAAAAAAAAACTTCCTTGTTGTAAATTTGCTTTAAGAAGAGACAAAAAATCATGTCACACAAGGAGCCACACATTAAGAGGAGAAAATTAGCAACGGAGGATGGCAAGTCCAATGACGAACCCGGTGTCCCAACGTCGCTCGACATTTCCGAGGGAGAATACGTCGTGTCGGAGGACGAAGGGAAGGGAAGCCACAGTAGCGATGCGGCACATGATGATGCAGATACACATAGCGATGGTAGTAGTGAGAAGCGGGGTGGGCATGTGAAACACTACCTAATTGAGCACATGGAGGATAAGAGCAAACTGCTAAGCGAGGTAGCTACGCTTGAAGAGAACAAGTTGTATGTGAAAAACATTACTGATGATGTTACGAAAAAGGATTTAATTCATTTCTTTTGTAATGCAACTGGGTATGTAGACACGAGGATGGTGCGCGACTCTTCAGGAAAAACCTCCAAACATTTTGCCTACGTTGAATTTGATACTAAAGAAAATGCAGCGAATTTTTTTCGAACCCTAGAGGATAGCAATGTCGAGAAATACAAGACATTCGAAATAAAAGGAGTCCACTTATATGTAGCCATTTGCAACTCTACAAAAATTATATATGAGGAAAGGAAGGTTTTTATTAAATTTTCTCGTTGTCAGGAGGATGTGGATGATGTGGTGATTAAGAAGGGAGTCGCTGACTTTTTAGCTAGCCACGCGGTGACCGTGGAAGAGATCCGCCTCCTCGGAGGGAAGCCCCCCACGTAATAAATGAGGAGAAGGGGGATGCTGCGTCCGTCGTGTCGCAGTGACTGTTTGCAGCCCATGTTTGCCGCCCGTATGTGCCGCCTTCCTTCACGAACACACCTGTTTCCTCCTCCCCCCCCCGCAGGCACGGCTACCTACACATGAGCAACAACGAAGATGTAGTCAAGTGCGTGGAGATCATCAAAGAGGGGACCTTCGCAAATGGGCACTTCACCCTCAACTACAGCATCCCAATAATAAAAAAAAAAATCATCCCGGACGTGGAAAAAATTAAAGCGAACAAGGAAAAAAATAAAAAACTCCAGGAGGAAAAAAAAAAAGAAGAAAATAATTGTACCATCGTTGTGAAAAATTTGAATTTCAACACAAGGAAGAATAAGCTACAAAAATTATTCGAACAGATCGGGGCAATTGAAAAAATCCATTTGAGCAAGAAGGTCTCTGAAAATAATATTAAACGCAATAGAGGCTATGCATTTATTACATTTAAAAATACAAATGACGCCACATCTGCTTTGATTCTAAATGATTCTGTTATAGACGGCAGAAGCATTTTGGTGTCTAAGTTTCTCGGTGAAGACAGTAGGGGCAAGTATGAACAGGGCAGCAGCTACCTGGGTGGGCAGCTCCATGGGGAGAGGAGAGACGCACAGGAATATCCCCCACGAGGGGGTAAGTATAACACCAATAGGAAAGGCCAATACCACTACACAAATCACAACGTTAAGAGTAACTACCCATATGAAAGAAGAAGAATAAATTTGAACAAGCCAGTCGATGCTAACATAGCAGTGGAAAAAAGAACCGATCAGGCGGAGGGACAAACTACTCCACTAACTAATGATGATTTTCGAAAATTTTTTTTTAAATAATTCAATCATATTTTTTTTTTTTTT